AACGAAACCTTTGGTAGCGAGTTTTCTCCGCCACGAGCTAAATACGAATGACCTACAGAACGTTGGATCCAATTTAGTCTCGCTTACGGCCGCGTCGTGTCGTCTGCAGATGCTTTAAAGGTCAACTAAACTGTAGGAAATGAAAGCAGCTGAGCTTATCTTCTGTAATTTAAAGCAGAACGATGATTATCTGGTTCTTAGTCGGTGAAAAGCGGTTTAAAGCTGATTTCAGCAGCTGTACGGTGATGAAATGTGTTTTAAAACTTTTATTGACTTGTGCAACATCTGAGTTTGTTTTTCTCCCTCCTGCTGTGATCGTGTTCAACGAGGAGCTGAGATCATTTTTATACGGAATGGAAAAACATACAAATGAAGAAACTTTGGATAAAATTCTAAGTTGTTTTCATTTGAGGATCAAGACTGGAGTCTTTGGAGCTCGTCCTGGTTTGACCCTGAGGGTTCAGCTAGTTTGTGTTTTCACTCCAGATCCGTTGGAAGTACATGATCGTGGACGAGGGCCATCGTATGAAGAACCACCACTGTAAGCTGACCCAGGTGTTGAACACACACTACGTGGCTCCACGCCGCCTCCTCCTGACCGGAACGCCGCTGCAGAACAAGCTTCCTGAACTCTGGGCCTTGCTCAACTTCCTGCTGCCCACCATCTTCAAGAGCTGCAGCACCTTTGAGCAGTGGTTCAACGCCCCGTTCGCCATGACCGGAGAGCGGGTAACGGCTCACTGTTTAATCTCCCCAGAGGGACCGATTTTCCTCACAAATCACTAGAAACATCAGACGGAAACCGGCAGAGCCACAGAAATGTTTAACCAGCTTTAGCGGCTCCAGTGATTCGTTTGACAGGATGAAAACAAAAGAAAAATAAATAAATGTTGTAATTATTTATTTCCGCACCTGGAGTCAGGCACGAGCGCTGGAAGTTGAGAGAGCGAGGCGGGGAACGCTGCGAGTCAACGCCGGCTTTGCTGCATCATTTCAGGCTCATGTATAGAAAAGCTTGTAGGTGCTTTTGGTTTCCTGTGAAAATTCCCAGAACGGAACCAGGAAGTTTGTGGGAATTTCAGTTTCTCAAAGCTGACCAATCATGTTATGGCCAGAGGTGGAAACGCCCGCCTCACTAGCATAAATGCGAGAGGGAAATGTGGAAATAATTGCAACATCCGTCCGCTTATCCGGGGTCGGGTCGCGGGGGCAGCAGCCTAAGTCGAGAGGCCCACACTTCCCTCTCCCAGTCTCTTGGGCCAGCTCCTCCGGGGAATCCCAAGGCGTTCCCTGGCCGGGTGAGAGACATAGTCCCTCCAGCGTGTCCTGGGTCTTCCTTTAGCCCTCCTCCCGGTTGGGCGTGCCCGGAAAACCTTACCGGGGAGGCGTCCAGGAGGCATCCTGACCAGATGCCCGAGCCACCTCAACTGGCTCCTCTTTTATGCGGAGGAGCAGCGGCTCTACTCCGAGCCCCTCCCGCATGACCGAGCTTCTCACCACATTTACAACATATATTTGTTTATCTTTATTTACTCCATTATTTAATTTTATATTTCCGTCCTCGTGTATTTAATTAATGTCTGTTTTGGCAGGAAGAGCAGGAAACTCAGACGTCGGTGTTGCTCTTATATCTTTCCCCTTTTATAATTTATTCAGCTTTACATTTTGCTCTGAAAGTTTGCTTGAAAGGAGAAGCAGATGTTGTGTTTACTGCTCTTCCCACCTGATGCATCATGTATTCGGGCATGTTGTATGTGCCTCTTAGCTTCACACGCGTACCGATGACGGCTTTCTAACATACTCGACACCCACAAACCTCCTTTACTCTGGTATTCTGTATCTGAAGAAGTTCTCATGAAGGAACCACGAGGACGAGCAAAGCCCCGAGGATCAGCTCCAGCAGCAGAGTCCTCGTTCATCACACAGCAAACAAAAGGATCACAGGAGTGGAGAATTCCTATGAGATCTGACTTTAGTTTGGTCTGTGTGGGTCAGACGAAGTCAGTAAAACTGTAGTGTTTTTCAGCTCGAACGCCACAGTTTTTATGGTAAACACCGATGGAGTAGAAAATCTGCTTTTAGCCACTGAGTTGTGGTTTAATTCAGCCTGACAGCCGAGCAGCGAGCAGAATAAAACGGTCGGCACGTTCTTCCAGATGGTGTTGATCAGCAAAAGTCCTAGCAAGGTCAGCCGTGGTGGCTGTTTGTCGGTGGTAGCATGTGTTAGCATGAGTCTCAGATCCCGTCCTGTCGTTTGTTCAAAGTCTTCCTCCATAAAGTCCAAACCACTCCCAGATCAAATATCCTGAAACGGAATTCCCCTCTGGGATTAATAAAGTATTTTTGAATTGAATTGAAATATCTGCTGCTAGTTTTCCTCACAGGCTAGTTTCTCGTTGTTTACTCTACCGAGCCGCGCGTCTCTCCTCCTCCTGTCTGAGGGCGAGCCAGCTGTGATGCTGCATGGCAGAAATTCATCTTCAAAGTTATTATTTCAACAAAAACCAAATGATCTCCTGAATCTGTTTTCTATGCCGCCCCTCCCCTCCCCGCATTGCTAGCCTAGCTTGTTTCTTTCTGCAGAACACACCTGAGTCACTAACCCCTCTCACCTGCTCAGGTGGACCTTAACGAGGAGGAAACCATCCTGATCATCCGCCGTTTGCACAAAGTGCTCCGCCCGTTTCTGCTCCGCAGGCTGAAGAAGGAGGTGGAGTCTCAGCTGCCAGAGAAGGTGAGTTCAGCTGCTGTTGCAGGTGTTTGCTTTCGTTTGGTCGCTGAATCATTTCTGGTTTCCGTTCCTTTCGTCCCGTCAGCCTGCGACAGTCAGGCAGGTTGGGGTTGAGCTGGTTTGGTGCGACGGTAGCTCAGGGGCTAAGAGTTAGCCCTCGGAGGAACCGCTGGTGCCTGTGCTCAGCAGCCTCGCCTCTGTCAGAGCGTCCCAGCTCAGCTGTGGCTACGGTGTAGCTCATCACCACCAGCGTGTAGCGTAAAGCACTTTGGAGTCCTCTGACTCAGAAAGGCGCTACACGAGTTCAGCTCATTTCTCATTAAATCACTCCTTTCCTTCACCAGGAGCATAACAACCCCGTTTTCTGGGTAGAAAGGTTAGTTTTTATTTTAGTGATGAAATTCGTTCCTGTGCTGATGTAACCGTGGCAACAGCGACGTCCGCCCTCCTCTTTCACTCACCGTTGTTATGTCGGCCTCACCTCGTTCTGCTGCTGGTAGAAAACACGGGTGGTGTGTTTCTCCTGCAGACTCGCGGCTCTGCAGAGTCTGGTTAGACGCAGCCTCCCTCGTAAGAGGCTGTTAGCGCTAACGACCCTGGATGCTACGTTTTAGCTTCAGACAGCGACTGAAGCTTGTAGGAAACGCCTCAGCTGCTGTTGGGGTTGCTTCTGCTGTATACCGTAACTCTGCCTTTACCGACACTCGTATACTGAGCTACCTTCATGCGGTAAAAGTAACACGGGATAGGTTGACGACATCATTCTGCTGGAAACCGTCTTAACTAACGTTTTAAGTTGTTCCGACGTCTTCTGTTCCTGAGCTGAAACCTCCAAGGATCTCCCTGCAGATGAAAACGTTAGTTTCTCCTTTACTTTGTGTTTTAGTTCTTTAATCTCGAGGCTGAAACTATCATGAGGAACAACCTCACCTTCAGGCGGATTTAGCTTTTGCTTCATCTCCTTCTCTCAGGTGGAGTATGTCATAAAGTGCGACATGTCTGCGATACAGAAGGTTCTGTACCGCCACATGCAGAAAGGAATCCTCCTGACCGACGGCTCAGAGAAAGACAAGAAGGTAAACATTGAAGCCTCGCCGCCTGTTTGTGCCTGCTGTAATCTGTGCTGTGGTTACTGAGCGTTGGGCTCCCTTTGTGCTGATTTAACCCTAATCGACTGTTTACATCAAAGGAGCTTTGAATCTCCTGACTAATGCACTCGGAGTTTATTCTAGTGCTGAATCCCTGCCCTCACAAGATAAAAGGCTCTGTTTTGGTTTGAAAGGACTTTACATTTCTTTTATCTGTGATCATTTGCTGCAGGGCAAAGGAGGCGCCAAGACTCTGATGAACACCATCATGCAGCTGAAGAAGATCTGCAACCATCCCTACATGTTCCAGCACATAGAGGTGAGCGCCGACGACACAGTTTGTCACTAAATATGTTTTTGACTCGTGTAAAGGGGACATGTGAAGAAAATCTCTCCTTTTGGATTGTTTTTGTGCTGCCATGTGGGTTTCTGCTGCCTCTAGAAACACTCCAGATGTGACTAAAAACACCGGCCACCCATTTCTGTCGGTGTTTGGTTCCAAAAAGTCCCGATTTGTGACGTAAACGCCACCCCTCCGCCACACTAACTCACTTCTTCTCCGTTTGTGACGGTTGGGACGACACATCCCGCGCGCTCCTCCGTGAGAGCGGGGGTTGCACACGTTCCGCTGCTGTTTCTCACCAGTATCAGCTGATGGAGGGCTCTAGTTTCGTAGCGCCGTTCGTGTCAGTGGACACGGTAGGGTTGGGGAGGGGGGTGGGGTATAACGCTTAGCCTGGCGGGTGGTCAAGGAAAGCCTGGCGGGCCGCCAGGGTTATAAAGCGCTGGAGGAAACCCTGCCGCTGTTGAATTGTGATCGGCAGAAGCTTTTCCGGTTCGCCGCCTGACATTTTTACAGCAGCGGCCCAAAACGATCTCCTAACACATGGATGTTCTGCTTCCTGATCACGTGACGTGTGACGTATGTGGATGAAGATCAGCTTTAGAGCTGAGATGTTTGTTCTCACGGTGCGGGGCTCGTCCGACGCCCACACGGTAAAAAAAAAAATGCCAAAGACTGCTTTAGTCAAGTCAAAGTCATTTTATTGTCATTTCTAGCACGTGTGCAAGACATGCAGAGAAACAAAATTGAGTTTCAGTGCACACAATTCAGAGATCAGACATACATGGGTAAGACAGATGACAAGAATTGGTGACTGCGGTCATTCGCAACATGAGTCGCACTACCTTAATAGATAGATGACAAGGGTGTTACATGAGGATAGTTGGGGGTAAGGTAAAAAAAGGCATAGCAGAGTTAGACCCAGCGGGGAGTAACTATTATACAAAAAAAAACTCCTCAACATAGAAGCACAAACAGCACAGATACAAAACATCAGAGTCCGATGGGGAGGCGGGGCTGGGCGGGATCCTGAAGCCTCCAACGGGAGCTGCCAGTACGGCGCATCAACCAGCTGCAGACCAACAGGTGGGAGGGAGAAATGAGGGACAGAGAGCACATTGAGTTTCCTGCAGGTCGCTGACCTCAGCAGAAGTCACAATCTGAAGGCGGGGGGGAAGGTCGGGGCACAGCATCTGTCAGCATTCCTCCTTTCGTGGGGGTGTGTTGAGGCAGCCTTGAGAGGCTGCCTTGGCGTCAGATAAGGATAAACATGACTTTGTTTGGGGCAGGCAGAGATAATTTTCCTCTCTGCCTTGGAGTCTATAAGTGGTCATTCATGTCCACCAGTGAAGCCAATTTTACGTTCTAAACATCCCCACATCGTCCGGCGACCCTCTCTGAGATGACATCCATCTTGCGCACTAACACAGGCAACGCCGCGAGGACATTGTCCAGCTTACGGTTCACCTCGAGTAACGTCCCAGTCTGTGAGGTCACCGCCCGGGCGGCACATTCCATGGGCACGGGTCGCACTCCAATCGCTCCCGTCTTCCCAAATTTCCAGAAAACCAGATATCCTCCCACTCCAATCAGAAGAAATCCAGCGATCATCAGGCCGAACATCCACAAATCTTCCACGTCCTCGATGGACAACTGAGAGAGGCACACAATTCGCCAGACCTCCCAAGAATCGAGTGCATATCCTGCTGCATATGTCCCCTCGGGACAGGTGGGAACCCCCTTCTCCGTTCTCATCGTAGAAAAAATTTTATCAATCGCGTTGAATGACCAGTTAATTAAGTCCATATTTCCAAAAAAGAGTAGTGATTTCAGGAGAAATGCAGAGAAGTGCTCTGTAGGCAGACAGGACAAGAGCCTTGGGGAAGCAGATAAGGGAGCTGAGAAAAAAAGCGTCTGTACTCTCTGAGGGCTGGAGAAAAGTCATTGACAGTGAACGAGTTAAATAATTGACCTCTACATGGTTTTTGTGCCGAGATTAAACCGTCAACGTGGTTGCTAATTCCATGATGGCGCCCCTCGTTGCTGATTGGTGGTTTTCTGTGGCAGGAGCGACCCGGTTCTGCCTCATTATTCCGTCAGCATGCATGTGGTTCTGTGCGCCTGCATGCATGTGATGCCATACTGACAACTGCACACCATCATTCATGAAAATAAAGCATAGAGTGTGTTGTGCAGCAGCGTGATGTCAGCAGTCACCTGATGCATTTCTTCACGTTGCACACCCCGTCCCTACAGCGTGGTCTCGGCTCAGGTGCCGTCTCGTCCGTGTTGCTTTGATTTCTCGCCGTGACAGCAGATTGCATGGGTTACCTGTTGGTTCTTTGCTAGCTTAGATGTGTTTCAAAGGACTGGTGGGACTCCCCTGTACCTGTTCTTTAGCTGCACGGGCCTGAGATTTTCTGCTTTAGTCTAAAAAGTTATGGTTCTGTTCTCATCCGACACGAGCTGTAAGGCTGTGCTCTGAAGTGATGCACACATTTGCTTTGTTTGGTATTAGCTCCGAGGGTTTTTTTTAAAAGGGAAATTGTATCATCTGTCCTAAAAGGCTTTCCATATTTAAACATGTAAATGTTTCCTGGTACAGGAGTCTTTTGCTGAACACCTGGGTTATCCGAATGGCATCATCAGCGGGTAAGTAGCACAGAAAAGGCCCAGGCCCTCTGAGGTTACTCACCTTATTTCAGGGAAATTTCATCATGCAGCTCTAGGAGTTATTCAGTGAAAATGAATGCAGGTCCATCACATATAAACTCTGACGTGTGTTCCTTCTTGCATCATGAGTAAAGTGTCTGTAATTATGAAAGGTGACGCATGAGTAAGTGTCAGAGGTGGACGTGCGTTCTGAAGCGATGCACCAATTACCAATGGTGGTAATGTCCAGATAATCACCTTTATGTGGCTGGTTCACATCATCCTGCTGCATAATTAATGAAACAGCACTGATTTAGAGCCGACAGGAAACCTTTATGGTTCATTAATGAACAGGTGCTGCTTACAAAGTCAGATCTGGGAAAAAATAAAATGTATTAAAAGTGTTTCATAAATGCTAAACGAGGTTAGAAGACGCGACGTGGGTGCGCAGCAGCTGCTTTCTGTGGAAGGACTAAAAATCAGAGCGTCTCCTGTGACTGGCTGCAGGTGGAAAGCTATTTACGGAGTCGGAAGTCCTAAAGCGTTGGATTTCTGATCATCTGAAGCTTTCTACTTTCTAAATACATTTCCTGTATGTTGTGTTGGCGTTATTGTTATGCTGTAATCATGTGGGAGACAAAGTAGAAGGCTTCTCCTTTGAAGTATTGCATAATTAAAAGTGTGAAAATATTAAATCATTACCTATAAAGGAGGTGGACTTCTATGTATTTACAGATAAATGCAGATTTTTTAAAACTTCAGTTAGAAATGTATATTTTTCATTCATGTATTTAAATGTATCCTTTTTATCCTCAACTGGACTCATAAACACAACACAACACAACTGGCTCAAACTGAGGCGGAGGTGGTACCATCCTGACCGTGCGCCAGCACATGCGTACTCTGTGCATTCAACTGCCTCACTTTTTTAAAGGCAACATATGTTTTCGTTAAGTGTTCTAATCTAAGCTTCTGTTGATTAAGAGAATATTCCATTTGACAACGTTTCAGGTGAAACAAAACAGGTTTGCTGCTAAAAAATATGAAATAAAACAACAAAATTATCAGGCTGAAATAACAGACTCTTATTGTGAAAGGCTCAATGATAAGCATTAGATTGGTGTTTAGTTCCCTTTTCCCCATCTGATATTTATAGTTTAAAATATTTTTAAATATTTGACCTACATTTCAGGAACATTTTAGGTTTGTATTAATAACACTCGTCTAAGTCAAAATAACACATAAATATATCCAGTAAAATATAATTCATTTCATTAACATGCATTTGGATTGTAATTGTTAATAACATTTCATTTCTACTGCTAACAATGTAATGGTTGGCAATAATCCAGTTCAAATTATGGTCAAAGATAGAAGCCTTTGTGAATTATATACTACAACGGCTTGCCTTAGATAGAAGCCTTTGTGAATTATATACTACAACGGCTTGCCGTACAGCCTGCGCCAGCAGTAATGTGACTCGCATCTGCAGCGGTTCTGATCCGTAACGCTGCAGCATGCAGAATAAACAGGATGGTGGGAACTTTTCATCCGCTTGTAGAGTTTAGTCTTTCTTAGTTTTACGATCATCATCATCATATATTTTTCCGTGCGCCACTTGATCGTGAGACTGCTACCCGTTAGCTTTAGCATTAGCCAATCTGCGTGTAGCTGCACTTTTGATCCCAAACTTTGGACCGGTTCTGCCTTTGCTGGTTCCTTAATGGGCCATTCCCATCTGTACCGGGTCGGCCCGGGCCGGGTAGCGTAGGTTGTTTACATATCTGGGTGGCCTGGTATTTTTCCGGGCCAACCAAGGCTCATTCTCGGCCCTCTTCCCGAGGGGTACTGCTTCAGGCCGACCAGGGCCAACACACCCACTGCTGACAGCAAATTCACACCTTCCATTAGAGCAAGCCTCTGATTGGTGGGTAGAATCAGCCCACATGGGCTTAAGACAAGGATGTGTGGAATCAACCGGGCCAGGCTGGGGCCGACTGGGGCTACCCGGCCCGGGCCGACCCGGTACAGATGGGAATGGCCCATTATTTTCCTCCACTGCATCCAGATGACCGCACTGTGTGCCAGTAAAAAAGCATTTTTCTTACACGCAACTTACTTTTGTACAATAAAGTTCTGGGGAGAATAGTAATTCAAAGATGTTGCACCAGTGCTACGTTTAAAAATAGACACACCACTGTACAGCCCTGCTCTGATATGGATGAGCCTGGGGTAAATCAGGATGTAAATTGCACCAACCGTAGATATGTACCAACTAGCGAGAAAAGCTATTTTTGATCTTTTTCTGCAGCGGTTTTAGTGCTTTTCGGTGCACCGCTGCTAATACAGCGGCTTGTAGTGGCGCAACGCTGCAACTGCAGTTAAAATAACACCCATATAGCTGGGGGCAGAGTGAAATCAGGCTGGGGCAGCACTAAATTAGCTGGAGGCGGCCGCCACGCAAATTTGAACGCAGGAAAAACCCTGTACAGCAGTTCTGCTAAAAATGCCCTTTTCAGTTTGATCCAGCATTTTTGGCCTCCCGCTGAAGAGGTCACACCAATAAGTTTTATGTTGTGATTTTCTCATTTTGAGATTTATTGATTTTTATCTCATTTTAACACATTTTGTGTATCCTATTGTGTTATTTGCCTTATTTTTTATTGTACAGGTTTAAATTCTTCATAAATTTTGTCTGAACTTTGGTCGGTTTGGCTGTTTTAAAGAGCCTTATCAATAAAGTTGGCTTGAAGAGTAACTGTTCCGTTCACACACGTATCGCCTCATTTTGTGTCTTTTCTATGAGGTTTTAGTATTTTTCATACTTGCTTCGTGTTTCTCTGAAACTCCCATGGAACGTAATCCTCTCCTCTTAGACCTGATTTGTACAGAGCGTCTGGGAAGTTCGAGCTGCTCGATCGCATCTTACCGAAGCTCCAGGCCACCAGCCACAGAGTTCTGCTCTTCTGCCAGATGACCTCCCTCATGACCATCATGGAGGATTACTTCGGTTATCGCAACTTCCAGTACTTGCGCCTCGATGGTAAGTTCATGAGCACTTTTCTGTGGGGATGAACGGTTAGGGTTAGTTACAGGAGCTGATACATCAACAGTTTGAGATTAAAAGCAAAAGCTAACTAGGGCTAAGCTATTTTAACAGATTACACATCAAAACGATTGACTTTTTCAGGATTTTACAGCAGCAACCTTTGGTTTTCAATGTGTTTAAATTTGAGCTTATTCCACTTTTGAAACAAATCTTAAACTTTACCATCTGATTTCACTTTTTGACATCTTTTGTAAAATAACATTTTAAATTTAAAGAGCAAGTCACCCCCAAATCAACATGTTTTTTCTGATAAACTGTATAAATGTGTGTCTAATCCTGCTGCAGACACGTGTAGTCAATAGTTTTGCACTTTACAGTATTCTAGTTAAAATTTAAATTTTCTGCCTAAAACTGTCAGTGTTGCGCCGTCGTCAGGTAAAAACTCTGCACTGCATTTGAATTTAAATCTGCCATCGCTATTGGCTAAGAGGTACTCTAGAACATTAGCTGGTTCCATATGATGTCACAATGTCGTGAGCCTGTGTGTGTGTGTGTGTGTGTGTGTGTGTGTGTGTTTGTTAGCGGCTCCGCCCTCTCGGTCTGCTAGGCAACAGCATTTGTTGCATGTTTCAAACAGGAAGTGGGAGTTGAGTAAGAATCTGGTAGGGGGTGACTTTGTCTTTAACTACTTCAACGTACAAACTTTTCCAACTTTAAACAAGTCACAAGCTATTACCGTCTGATTTCACTTTTTGACATCTTTTGTAAAATAGCAGTTAAAATTTAAGCAAATTTCAGGAAATTCTATGTTTTTAAACAAGCCACTGTCACAGAGTCACTGGCCTTCAGAGCATCGACATATATATACTGAACAATTCATTTCCATAGGCTCCAATAACACGTTTTTGAAGAAAAATGGGAGGTGGCCACCACCGCCATTTTGACCGTGTCACAGGTTCCGTCAAGCCCAGACAATTCCACGAAAGGGAAGAGAGGTGGAGCTGAGGGTGGGGCTGTAAGGCTGGGATCAACTGACGACACCCGGTCGAACTAGCTACAAGCTAACCCAAAGCTAACGCGGAGGTGGGAGCTAAGCTAACGGAGGTAGCAACCTAGCTACAGCCGGAGTTAACTGTGCACAACACCAGAGCTTCTGAGTCAGAGATACGCCGGGCTGACCGCTGGGTAAAACCGGGTGGAAAGGTTTCCATCCCAGAGCTCCACAAGCCGGCAGCCCGCGCATCAAACAGGAGCCGCGATCAGACAGAGATGCGCCGAGCTGCGGGGAGGGGAGAACCGGGTGGAAAACATCGGTCCCCTGAGAGCTCCACGAGCCGATAGTGGGAACGCAGCTCCACCAACATGTTATATTTCAACCCATTTTCTAAAGTGCAGCATTATGTTAAATGCACTGGGTTTTACCCTATTACATTTAAATTTCATGGTTAAACAGTACATGTTAAAATCTAAGCTCAGCTCAGCAGTGACCTAAAATACATAAACATAATTTTACTTACAGAAAAAAATGAAGTGGAGACTCCTTGGACGCTCTATTAGTGCAATTAATGCCACAGCAAGTCATTTTGTCCAACAATTGCACAAATAATATCCAAAAAAGAACGCTACAACTAATGGTCTAAGTTGAGAGACTGAAAATGGTGGAACAGTTTTCAGGTGAGGCCGAGGCTCTACTGAGGCCTTTCCCCGGAGCTAGCTCTGTGGTCACGTGGGTCTGATGCTCATTAATTATACAGAATTTTAGGCTTTTAATACACTTAAACAGAAGAGTGAGAAAAGAATTCTGACAAATATTCTTATATTCTATCACACAAGTCAAAAATATTTGACTGAAGAAGTTGTGATGTTTCAGGAACCACCAAGTCGGAGGACCGAGCCGCTCTGCTGAAGAAGTTTAACGAGGAAGGATCTCAGTACTTCGTCTTCCTCCTCAGCACCAGAGCTGGAGGTCTCGGCCTCAATCTGCAGGCTGCCGACACGGTGGTCATCTTCGACAGCGACTGGAACCCACACCAGGTCCGACCACCAGTCCGTTTCCTTCTATAAAAGCCGCCAGGAAAGAGCCGGGTCGCTGGAAAAGATGATCTTATTGGTTTGCTAACCCACGTGGAAGAGATCGAGATCATCTCAGCAGCAAATGTTTATCTTTTCAGTAACTATGGAAGCCTGTTGGCAGGTTCTTTAGAATTGTCTTTGACTAAGAAGTAGGGCTGGGCAGTAAATAGAAAATGTATCGTTATTGAAATCTCTGACTCTCTAAAGTCGTCATTTGCATGCTTTTACTGTGTGGGCGTCGGACGAGCCCCCGCACCGTGAGAACAAACATCTCAGCTCTAACGCCGATCTTCATCCGCGTACGTCACACGTCACATGATCAGGAAGCAGAACATCCCTGTGTTAGGAGATCGTTTTGGGCCGCTGCTGTAAAAAAAGTGAGGCACGAACCGGAAAAGCTTCTGCCGATCACAATTCAGCAACGGATTATGACAAGGGATAACGCTCGAAACGCGCGGATTCTTCCTGATGTAAGAGGTGAGCCTCCGCTCTGTCTTGGTTGTTTTGGTGTCGACATCATCCTAGCGCGCAACGTTCTGTCACTCTTAAAAAAAGCAGTAAAAACGGTGAGAAACGCTGGCAGCAAATGAGTTAAGAAGCCGCACCACCGTGAGCCACGTAAAAATGTGACTCAACGTGGTGCACGTGACAGCCCCCTCTAGTGGACAGCTGTTGTTTCATGTAGTTATCGTCTGTTCATCGTTATCAAGTCCTCAATTTATGGTGATATTGATTTTGGGCCATATCGTCCAGCCCTGTTAAGAGGAATGTTTGTAAATTTGGTAAAACTGAATAAGTTTGAATTTGTTTTTTCACATTTTTAAATTGAAATGAAACGAGGGAATTCTGGGGAAACCAAGATGAAAACCAAGTAGTTGTGCTCTGGGTTTAAGGGACGAAATGTGTTCAGTTCTGTAGAGATTTACAGGTTTTTACATCCGACACGGTTTTTGCTGAAGCGGATACGTCCTGTTTTCCAACCCAATAACGAAACGATGGTCTTGTTCACTTTCTTCAGGACCTTCAGGCCCAGGATCGCGCTCATCGCATCGGGCAGCAGAACGAGGTCCGAGTGCTCCGTCTCTGCTCCGTCAACAGCGTGGAAGAGAAGATCTTGGCAGCTGCCAAATACAAGCTGAACGTGGATCAGAAGGTCATCCAGGCAGGCATGTTTGATCAGAAATCATCGAGCCACGAGCGCCGTGCCTTCCTCCAAGCCATCCTAGAGCACGAGGAGCAGAACGAGGTGAGAAAATTGTTTTCAACCGTTTATTAATTCAGCTTGGAGCATCGCCGGCTCAGACAAGGTGTCCAAGTTGGCATTTTGAAAAGATGAATGTGGAAGGTTGCAAACAGATGAGTTAAATTACGTTTTGTGTTTATGCGTTAGAATAGTTTAGGTGAAATTATTGCCAACTCTGTGAGGGCAGAGGCTTGATGTGCAAATGATGAGTCCTTCACTCGTGGCATTAGTGGGTTTGTCAGACCGCGTCAGCTGTAATTCGGTGCTTCACGCGTAAACACGTGGAGTGGTGTTGCTGCAGCAGTTCCAGCAGAGACGTGTGTTTTCCATTTTAAATGAGTTGAAGCAACTTGTTGTGATTTGATTTCAGGAGGAAGACGAGGTGCCGGATGACGAAACCCTAAACCAGATGATTGCTCGTAACGAGGACGAGTTTGAGCTGTTCATGGTAGGAGAGCTGCATATCTTTAACCATCCGAGTCACATTTCAATTTCAGAGTAACGTAAACAAAACCAGCAGCTTAGAGTCCTTCTCCTAAAGATGGTGTCTGACAGCAGCTTCCCCGACACCACGTAATTCTAGGCTGTGCGCCATGACGGCCATTTTCCTGGCTAGAATTTCATCGTCTGTTTTAACGCTTCACAGAAGCATCGTTTGACATGAAGGGACTGTTGTCATGGTTACCGAGTCATCCTTTTCTTTTAGTGACTTTTTCTGTTGGCACAACTTCATCCACTAAAGTCTTTCCTTTTACCCTGTACTAACTGGATCCGGGTGGTTCTGATTGTTCTACCAGAACCTAAAACATAGAAACACAAACGAGAAGCCCTCTGATGTTCTGAGTCTGGAGTTTGGCTTTTATTTAATCTAATGACTGCGGAAACGGGCCGTAGTGTCTCTCTCCGTCTGTTGTTGCATAATAAAGCTGTTTGTGGGCCCTTCCATGTTGTACTTTTAGAACCAGGATATGGGTCTGCAGGCCCCGCCCACTCACCTGCATACAGTCATCGTGTTTTTTAAAATGGTCATTACAGCTTTGACACAGCAGCAACAATAGGAGACGTCTAGAAAGCCGAGATGTTTTAGTTTTAGCCAGAAAAAAGATTAGCTTGCATGTAGGGGGCGGTGTTTAAAGAGCAAGTCACCCCCAAATCAACTTTTTTTTGCTGATAAACTAAATAAACGAGTGTCTAATCGTGCTGCAGACACTTGTAGTCAATAATTTGGCGCTTCAGTGCATCTTAGTTAAAATTTAAATATTCTGCCTAAAACTGTCAGTGTTGCACCGTCGTCAGGTAAAAACTCTGCACTGTATTTGAATTTAAATCTGCCATCGCTATTGGCTAAGAGGTATGCTATGATGTAAACTGGTGCATTATGAGGTCACAATGCCGTTGTGAGCCTGTGTGTGTGTTTTTTTGTTAGCGGCTCCGCCCTCTCGGTCTGCCAGGCAACAGCATTTGTTGCATTTTTTAAACATGACGTGGGAGTGAAGTAAGTTTCTTGTAGGGGGTGACTTGCTCTTTAAAGCCTCTACTGGAACCAGCCAGTAGGGGGCGACTTTCCCATTTCCTCATGGTTGCATCAAGATGATTTGCGTTAATAGTTTCCCCCTAAAGGAACTAAAAACTGTCACTGATTACGGGTTTGAGTGTGTTTTTCCTAATTTTCCCACTACTAGCGCATGGACATGGACCGACGTCGAGAGGACGCCAGGAATCCGAAGCGTAAGCCTCGTCTGATGGAGGAGGACGAGCTGCCCTCGTGGATCATTAAAGATGACGCTGAGGTGGAGAGGCTCACCTATGAGGAGGAGGAGGAGAAGATGTTTGGCAGGGGTTCTCGGTGCCGTCGGGACGTGGACTACAGCGACGCGCTGACAGAAAAACAGTGGCTCCGGGTAAAAACGCCTCCACTCTCTCACTTTTCATCCTCCCAGTTTAAGGCAGACTTAAGGGATAGCTTGGTGAAATAATATGAGCTAACCGATGGCGTTGGTTGGTTTGGAAGATTGCCAGGGACAATAATCGTAAACGAGTGAGGTTTAAAGATGGCTGAGGACAGTTATTATTCATATGTAAGTCTTTGGCTGGAGCTTTATTGAGTGAAGAAAAGTTAAACACTGGGCATCAAACCAGCAACCCACTGATTGCCTAACCTCTGAAGCACTTCCAAACCTGTGTCCTATGTCTCTTTTCTCCCAGCCTGTCCCCTCTGGTGCGTGAGCGAATCCGGGCTAACATGCCACAAACATAAAACGGGCTACAGGAGGAATATCCCACGTGTCTTTTTCTGTAGAGTTAGACGGATCAACCCGAATCGGCTGCAGGTCGTCCAGAACGCTGCTGCCAGGTTCTTGACGAATACACACCGACGTAGCCATATTACCCCAGTCCTGGAACACCTTCACTGGCTCCCTGTCATTTTCAGAGTACAGTTTAAGTTATTGACTTTTGTATTTAAATCAGTAAACAACCTGGCACTTCCCTGTCTCTCTGACCTGCTCACTCCATATGTACCCACGCGCACGTTGAGGTCGGCTGACCTTTTGCTGCTGTGCACGCCCCGGATGCAATACAAATCGCGGGGTGAACGATAGAGGTGGGAAAAATGATCGATTCTAAGATGCATCGCGATTCAGCCGTGCACGATTCCGCATCGATGCAGCAACGTGACATAATGAGATTCTCTCCCTATGTCTATGTTGGGGGTCGGCATCCACGGCTCTGGAGCCGCATGCGGCTCTTCCATCCATCTGATGCGGCTCTCTGTACTTATAAAATAATGAATGGATATTTAAATAAAAAGTTTTATATTTTACTGCATTAATTTTACATCTGTATGCTAATTCTAAATGTAAGGATTGTCTGCGTAAACCTGAACAGCTCCAACCCGGTCTTACTGTGAGACCGGGTTGACGCGTCACGCTTGTGCGTAATCATAAAGGCGCATTCTGAGCTGACGAGGACGTGAGATTCTGGGATTCTCCTCAGCTCCTGGATGGAGACAGGAACAAGCGCTATTCAGCCAAAGTTTCATAATCAGGGAACATTTTCTAAGTGACAAGTCTCGCTTCAGTCGGAGGAATCTTCCTGCGCTTTGGTTCTGCGACGTGCTCCAAGCCCCTCTCCACAACTTCAGCTCGCTGTGCGCCGTACGTACGCGCTGACAGTGAGCTGTGCTGAGCTCAGTGTCAAGCTCAGATGGGAATCAGTTCTTGAGTGATTTAGCGACATCTGCGCGAAACGAATAAAATGTCAGTTCGTCTGCTTGCGTCGGGGTAATTCTTTCTATTCTTTCTCCGTCAAAATAAACGGTTAAATACGGGAACTGTCCGGTCAACACAACACAAGCCCTGCTGTTAACTGTTCTGTTTTCTTGTGAAAATTGTTGCAAAGAGATATAATTTAACTTGATTACCACCAGAGCCAGGCGCACTGCGCCGTTATCTCCGTCGCTGTAAATGAGGGAAAAACAAAGTGATCGGATCCTTTTCTGACCTTCCCCACCTACAAAGTTTAATTACAACAATCAAACGTGACAGAGCCTGGATTTGTATTCTGAACAGTCTAAACATGTTTTAAAAAGAAACGTATGACAAAAGTGGCACCTGCTCAGTAAAACCATCAACAGGGTGAAAAATATCACAATATTGTCGGCAGAGACGGGCTACAACTTCTGGATCCACTTTATATAAATCATTTTATTGATTATCGTCTTATAAAAGATAACTTTGATGTACACGAGCGACCGGTACTGGCTGCTGTCACCTGCTGTGAGCCAACACATTAGCGCTCTGCTGTCTGAGGGTAGGCCCCGCCCACAACGCCGCGGCTGCTGCGGTGTTTTCTTTACTGTGGGAAACGGGTAATAATGGCTCTTTGATGGTAACAGGTTGCCGACTCCTGGCTTATGTCTATGCAGGACAATAAAGTTTTGAGGTTTTACAATTACTTCTGGGGGCAGAGTTGCAATGACATGCGCACTGCGTTGCCCTAGCGCCAATTTAAAAAAGAAAAGGCGGACAGGGATACAGGGCCAACATTACCAGTAATCAAAGATGTACCCGTTACATTTAAATCGGATGTCTGGGCTAATTTCGGTTTTGGGATCCTGGATGTGAAAGAATCACTTAACACAGTCTTTGTTTACTATTTTTAAGTTCAGTAATATTCTATCTAAAGGCTGCTCTACCGAAAACATTATTTCTTATATTATTTAAGTAATTATAGGCAGCACACTTTAAACATTATTGCTCACTATTCTACTGCTTTTATTAAGTAATGAAAATTTTTGTGTGAAGAATCTTGATGCATTTCAGACTCAAATCGAATCGTTAGGCAGATAATCGGAATCGGATCGAATCGTGAGGCAGGTAGAGATGCACACCACTAGTGAACGAGCATTTGTGCACGCTGCTCCAAAGCTGTGGAACTCGTTGCCCACTGGAGTTCGGCGGGCTCCATCATTGGCGGTTTTTAAATCTCGTTTAAAGACCCACTTTTACGATTTGGCTTTTAGACAGTGACTCGTTCTAGTGTTTAATGTGTTTTTAGTATTCATCATGTCTTATCTGCTTTGACTGGTATTTTTATCTTCTGTTTTAGTTCCTTAGAATGGTCGCGTTTTGTTTTAGCCTGCGCAGCACTTTGGGCAGCTCCCATGCTGCGTTTTAAACGTGCTACATAAATAAACTATGCTATGGTAACCCTTCTGTCTGCCTCTGCCAGGACGGGCGGGTTAAAAAATAAATAAACCTTCTGAGATAAGCCCACAAGAGAGCACCGTCCCGCCTCGTGTCCAAGACAACGTGGGAGCGATATCCGGCAGAACTGCGCTCTGAAAGTAAAAGCACCTGCAAATGACCAGTTTTCTCACGTTTGATATGGAGGTCAACTAAAGGGCTAGCCAGTGTTCGGGATTCAGCACGCTGATAACCGGTTGGATGGAACAGATTTCCCAGCATGCAACACTTAGAGTGACCAGATCCCAACTTACTCAATGTGGGACAACGTGAAGCTCCAATGTAATGAGAAAAAAAACAGTCTGCCTTGTAGCCCTAACATCCCTGTTACACATACATACAATTCTTATTATCATCATATATTTGTATATGTTTTATTTGAATTGTAATGAATCAATAGAGGGTAAATTGGATTAAATTGCTTACGAGCTCTTTATTTTTATTGTCATTACTTGTGACCCATAGCTGTGATAATCTATTAATTATAGAATGGCACCTGCTTGGTCTTTAAGATGATTAGGCAGAAGATTCTAAGATTCTTTGTTTATTCAGGGACTGTAAACACTTAGTTTAGGATTCAAGAGCCAGTCAGGGTTTAATAATAATTTATTTTACAAACAATTTAAGACTTGACAAATGGTTTAACCCTCTGGGGTTCATGGACTCGTATCAGCGTCTCTTTAACAGGTCTGATTTGGGACGCTGTAGCAGCAAGACTCCGCCTCCCCGAGTTTCGGTTTCAATTCAGCTTTAAAAAGGAGATTATAAACTACACCCCAGTTTTTAAATTTTGTCAATAGGCAGCGTAAAAGCGGAGTTACTAAACTAAAGAACGACCTATTTTTAGACAATCTGATAACTTGTCAAAACAGCAGTTTAGTAATCCATGAGAGGGAATGTGCTTGTGAACATAAACAACCCACAAAAACATGAGATCCTGTTGCTGTTGGTGGAAGTCTCACATATTCAGCTGATAAAAAGCATCATTATGTAGCTGAGAGGGAGAGGAAGGACGCACGAGTAACGAGACGTGCACAAAAAGGAGCCGCTTGGCGGGGAAAGGAGCGGCGCGAACAGAGTAACAACAAACAATTAAGACAGATATTGATGGTAAACTTCATATTTTGGAGCGATCCGGTCAGATATGTTGTCTCTGCAGTTTAGTAGGCTTTTATTAGGCTTGTATAAAGGATGATGAGAAGGATAAATGTCCACCAGGCAGTTCAGATGGTACGGCTGTTTTTAGAACTGGAAGCAGAGGAAGTGGACGGAGACTCGGAGCCGGAGTCTGAGGCAAATAGCGAGGATGTTGATGACGATGTGGCAGATCCATCCTTCCTCCTAGAAGAGTTGGGTCATGATTCAACTAAATTCAATTCAAAAATACTTTATTAATCCCAGAGGGAAATTGATTAAGGTGAGGTAGAGGATGAAGGCAGAGATGCAGCTCCTTGGAGATCCAACAAGTGGAGTGGGCGGCGCCGCGCAGCTGTCAGATCTCGATCTCCGCGGCGTGAGACAGAGCCACTCCCCACTCCAAAATGCATGTACATTATTGCCAAATTAATAAAATAAGTATAAATTCAGATAGTCCAGGTTGTCCTGAAAAAATGATACCCCATAAGGCAAAATTTATTGTTTCTATTAGAAAATACAAAAGAAAAACCAAAATGAGTCAAAAACGGTGATTTACACTCTGGACCCCAGAGGGCTAATAATATAGTTTTAAATTTGTTATTTTCTATATTCATATTTTTTATAAATGTACAGTCTAGATTACCATTCTAAATTATAAAAAACATTCGTCATAAATGTTTGTTGGTTTCACAGTAAAATAAACAACTTTTTTCCAATTCAGATTTTATGTTTTTGAGTGATTTAACTCATTCACTGCCAGCCGTTTCCTGATCACTAACGGCCTTCGCTGCCAGCGTTTCTCACCGTTTTTACAGATTTTTTAAGAGTCACAGAACGTTGCGCGCTAGCATGATGTCGACGCCAAAACAACCAAAGCAAAGAGGAGACTCACCTCTTACATCAGGAAGAATCCGCGTGTTTCGAGCGTTATCCGTTCTTTCATAATCCGTTGTCGAATTGTGATCGGCAGACGCTTTTCCGGTTCGCGCCTCACTTTTTTTACAGGAACGGCCCAAAAC